TGTGAAATAGGATGAATGATAACTCAATGAGGTTGGTTTTTTTTTTAAGACCCATTTCCTTGTGAAAAAAAAATGTATCTTATTTTTTTCAGATGAAATCTTAAAAATCGAATCCTGAATCTTGTGCAGCTCCTTGAGATGGGAACAGGGGCCACACTAGCAGGCAGATGTGAGGGCGGTTCTGGCCTCTGAGGAGACCAGGGCTCACATCTGGTTCACCCCGTACCGGAGGGAGCCCAGAGAGAGCTAATCTGGAGGAGAACAAACAAGGTGTCTGTGTAGGCCCCTTCCAGAGAGGGTGCAGTGAAGCAAACCAGTGATGCCAACTCTTCTCTGCAGGCAGAGACTGGTGACTGGTGGGGAGTGGGTGGTCCATCACCTTGGTAGAATTATTTTGATGATGTTGTTAGCTTGGGGGACACACCAATAGGTAGTATCAGGGGCTGCTCCCAGCTTGGAGCTCGTGGATTATTCCCAGTCTTATGGGAACAGCAGGGTTCTGGGGATCAAACCCAAGCCTCCCACATGTAAAGCACATTGCTTAGCCATTTGGCCAACTCTGACCCCTTAGTATCATACTTTATTTTTTAATCTAATCTGTCTGTTTTGTGTTTGGGAGCCACACCTTGGGCTTATTCCTGGTTTTGGGGGCCACAACTTGTGCTTCTTCCTGGCTCTATGTCCAGATATCACTCCTGGTAAGGCATGAGGGACCATACACAGGGTGCCAGGGATCAAATCCTGTTTGGCTGCATGCAAGGCAAGTACTCTGCCCGCTGTACTATCTCATCGGCTCTCTAGCATAATATGTGTAATAGTATCTCAGTAAAATAATATTCAACTCACTTTTTTTGTGTGTTTGGGGGCCATACTCAGTGGCTTACTCCTGACTCTCTATTCAGGGATCACTCCTGGAGGGGGCATGGAGGATCATATAGGGTGCCAGGGATCAAACAGTGTTCAGCTGTGTGCACAGCCACCACCATACTTGCTGTACTATATCTCCAGCCCCTAAATTGCATTTTTTTAGTATATAAATTTGGTGCCAGAGAAATAGTACAAGTGGCTATGGTCATATCTTGCATGTGGCCAACCGAGTTTGGTCTCTACCATCACGTATTCCCTAGAACATCACCAAGTACAGACCTAGAGGACCCAGATCACTGCCAATGTGACCCAGGAAATCCCCAGCACTCGGGGTCCAAGGAGAACCACATTCTCAGGCCCTTGCACTGAACCTCTGGCCTGGTTGGCCAATAATTACCTGGAGAAGACATTAAGCATGCTAGGGACCCCCCCCCCAAAGTATGTAAACTCTCCTAACTAAGACAGTATTCTCATTAGTTCTAGAGGTTGCAAAAATATGACACATTTGCCCAACTTAGTGGGATATTAGAATGTGCCTCAACCCTGGTGCTGCTGAGTGCCAAGAAAATGAGCCTGGAAGAGGCCTGGCAGGGGGATGATGGATGCTTTCAACACTTTCCTTTCAGAAAAAGTTTTAGTTCTAGGATTAAAATGACTACAACAAAGAGGCATCTCTGGGAGAGATGCAATCAAAGCGCACCAGCCTCACTCTGCAATCCTCCTACGGAGCTAAAGAACGGTTTCAGCCCACAATAGAACATTGTGTAATAGACATTTGTCAGACGAGGATGGGGAGCTGACTTTGGACCCTGCTGCCATGTGGTGAAACAAGACTCGTCAGGTCAGGGTAAACTGTTCTTTGGAAGTGCTGCCCCAACCCCATTAAGCAGTCAGAGGATAGCCAACAAAAGGGTGTATTCACAAACAACACAAATGCAGTCGGGAGGTTCAGAGAGAGCAAAGTGGCAGAAGACATGCTTAGGATGTGCCAGGCTTGGACTTGGATCGTGGCCCATATGCCCATCTCACTCCCCCCATTGTCAGGCCTGAACTCGTAGGCCTGCTGAGAAAATGGGAGGTAAGTCCCAGGGATCTCCAGCACTGCTGGGTCCCCTACTGGAAACACACACACACACACACACACACACACACACACACACACACACACACACACACACTGGGGAGTGTAGGCTGTGAGAAGACACACTCACACTTACCCCAGAGAAAACTTTTTTGGGAAAACATCCTTTAGTTCACTGCAAGAGCATCAAAGTGGCCTTCATCACTTGTACTCAGAGGGGCCCCTTCCACCCCCACTGCTCTCTGTTGCATGCAGTCTCTGGCCTCCTGACCCTTCTAAATAAGTGTTCTTATTAGCTCATTATTAGACAGGAAATCAGAGTTAGATCCTCTTCACAAGAGCTGCCAAAGGTGCCCTGGAGAAAGCTCGGCTCAGGGGCAGGATGGAGCTCAGGAGATGGGCCCAGGCCCGAGGCCCCTAGCCAGGCTCTAGTCCTCTACCTTGGGGCGGGGGGGGGGGGGGTCTCAATTTCCCCTTCTGTACTGCTGGGAGAGAAGGTGGCAAAGTGGCCTCCAGTCTGAGGACCCTGAAGAATTTGCACAGTGAGCCGCCACCCATTGAGGTTTCTTTCAGAGCAATTTTGAGCCTACTGGGAGGAAGCAGGGGTCCCTCATTCTGGGAACCTCTGTTTGAGGGATTGGGGAGGACACAGGGCAGTGCTCAGAGAGCCCTCCTGATGGGACTCAGGGGCCTTTATGTGGTGCATAAGGCAAAGTAAATGCTTTGATCCCTGTACCATCTCTCTGGCCCCTCTGGAAGCTTCTGGATTCTGATTCTGGAAACCTCTTGAAAACAGATGGGGATTTGCAGGGTTTGGGCTGTACCATCCCACAAGAGGTTAAAATGTCACTGTTGCTGCCCTGACCGCAGGAGCTGAGCAGCAAAGGAGCCTCCGAGTCTAAGGCAGGTGGTCCCAGTACAGAGGTAAGCAAGGTGGGGCCCTGCGGTCCCTTTCCCAGCCCCTCCAAGCCTTACCCACCATTTTGCCCCTGACAGCAGTCTTTACTCGTTATGTAATTGTTCTTCTGAAAACCAGGCAACGAAACCTCCAGAAGAAAAGCTATTGATTACTAAAGGTTATTTGGAGGTTTCGCGACTCATAATAGAGTGGTTATAATTATTCTTGTTATGACACATCCTCTTAAATGCTCGGGCTGAGAACATTGTGCTTGCCTCGCTTCCATCCTCTTCAGCGCAGGGGAACGGCAAGTGCTGGAAATAGCTCTCGTGCAGATCCAGGCAAGGACGCACAGGAGGCGAGCAGGCTGAGAGTGAGTCCATGCAAGAAGAGGGAGCACCAGGGGATGCTGAGAGCAGCCAACAGCTCTGCAGCCTCGGGCTAAACTGCCCATCACATGGTTGTATACCAATGACTGATCCTTCTCAAGGTTAAAGGCATAATCACCTATTAAAGAATAGCCCCAACACCGTGTCTTAAAATATAATCGTGAGTTCAGGAAACAGCTACTTGTCTGGGCTTCTCATAACAATAAGAACTAGCATTTATCGAGTATTTCTCGGGGTAAAATGCTGCTCGCTCTGAGGGTCATCAATAAGTTCCAATGGGGCTGCCTGTGAAAACCACATCAATGAACGGACCATGGCTTGGGACTGAGGACCAACTTGTAAGATGGGTGGGAGGGCACAGGAAAGAAACAAGGTCAAAGTCTGAGAAGCCTGGCTCTACATCATCTTCCTGAATCCACATCAGAATTCTCAAGGTAGGTCTGATTATTGTCCCCACTTAAAAAGACACAGAAGCGTCAGTGGGGCAGGCTGTGTGCAGGACGCCGCAAAGCCCGAATTCAAAGTGACTCAGAGCAAGGCCCCCCATGAGCTTCATCACCTGCCCCTGGGTGGGTAGAAGCCCCCTCCAGATCTGGGAGGGCTAGGTAGGGTCAGGGAGTGCCACAGGTAATTTAGTTGGGCCCACAGGGGTGAGGCTGCAACGGAGGGCAGGGGTGAGGCTGCTGAGCTGCTGGTTGTTCTAAGCATCCTGGGGCTCCTTCTTCTTTCCTGGACCCACTTTCAGTCTGTTTTCCTCCCGTGCGTCTTTGCTGTCTGCATTCTCTCAGGCACCTTATAAGACTCTGAATGTTGGGCTGAGAGGTTGTACAGGGGCTAAGTGAGGTACTTACCTGTACAGAGCTGACCGCAGTTTGATCTCTGACATTACATAGGGTCCCCAAGCACCACCAGGTTTACCCCCAAACCAAAAATAAACAATCAAAATACCCTAATTAGGGGCTAGAGCGATAGCACAGCGGGTAGGGCGTTTGCCTTGCACGCGGCCGACCTGGGTTCGATTCCCAGCATCCCATATGGTCCCCTGAGCACCGCCAGGAGTAACTCCTGAGTGCAGAGCCAGGAGTAACCCCTGTGCATCGCCAGGTGTGACCCAAAAAGCAAAAAAAAAAAAAAATACCCTAGGGGTTGGAGTGATAGCACAGTGGGTAGGGCATTTGCCTTGCACGTGGCCATCCCAGGTTCGATTCACAGCATCTCATATGGTTCCCTGAGCACCGCCAGGAGTAATGCCTGAGTCCATGAGCCAGGAGTAACCCCTGTGCATAGCTGGGTGTGACCCAAAAGAAAAAAAAAACTAAATATAGTACTAATTGATTTTTGTTTTCTCTTTTTCCTCTGTGTCTCTCTCTCTCTCACTTCATTGGGTACCTTCCATCCCTCCCCCACCTTCCTTCTGTTCTTAGCTTGTTCCAGAACATTCTACACTGAGCAACACTGGGTATTCTTAACCACTGTGTCCTTGTCCTTGAAACATGCATGATGCGGGACCAGGGGTGGGGGAGGGGCAAAAGAATCCACACACCCTGCAGAGCCCTGACCAAGCAGGGGTGCCCTCAGGGAGGCAGAGACCAGAGGTAAACAGGGGGAAAGCCTCAACAGTGCCAACAGCTGCTCATTCAGGCAGTGCCTTAGGCCTGAGCTACCAACAAACCAGCTTGCCCACAACTGTTGCCTCTGGGGACCCCCTGTCCCAGCGGTCGCTTTGCTTCTCCTCAACTTCAGGTTCATCGACGGCCCCAACAAGATGGCCATGGCACTGCTGCTCCTGCTCCCCACACTGACCGGCCTCTTCCAAGCCTCAGAAGCACAGGACTTCCGCTTTGGGCCATGCCGGGCTCTGCCTGTGCAGAAGAATTTTAACGTGACCAAGGTAACCTCCCCTGGGTTTTGCAGTCTCCCATCTGAATTCGTGTCTGTCAGTTTGTTTTAGGAGGTTGCTCTGATGACCCCTGGCAGCCCTGGGTTGGTACTTAATCTGATTTGGGGTTCCTTCAGACTCTGAGACCAGAAGTGGAGAGCTGAGAATTTGGGGTCAATGATCACAGAAAGCACGAATGGGCCTGTGGGGAAATTGAGGCAAAGAAGGCAGATCAGGCCATAGAGGAGGGCATTCAGTGACAGCTTATCAGGGATGCGATGTTCCTGGGGAACCTGTGGGAAAACATGTGGAATTCACCTCAGATTGTCCTGTGGGCAAAAGCCAGGGGACTGTGCCCCCCCCCCCCCCGGTGCTGACTTGGTGGCCCAGTGGAGACTATGGCTCGGGCCTGAGGGTGGGTAGCTGACAGGGGCTAAGGTGAGCCCAGAGGTACTGAAAGGACATGGCTGAGAAGAATCTGTCAGAGAGTTTGGCCTGCAAAGTGAGGCTCACACCCGGAGTATAGGGGGTTTCCAGAACTTTCTCATGGGGGCAAGCAGAGGTCAGGACACCTAGAGATATTTTTGCTAAAAAAGGTTTCATTATCTCTAGTTCCCCCTTCTGACCCAGTCTTGCTGCAAAGACTAGACCAGTGAGAGGCAAGAGGAGAAGGAAGCAGCGTTGAAACCATGGCTTTGTGGGTTCCCTCGCTGCTATCTCAGAAGTATCATCCTCCCACCCCCCACCTCAACACTTTAAGACCTTTCCTGCTTACCAGAGGTCTGATTCTCTCTGGGTAACAATGTGAGTTATGAGTCACAATGGAGCTCTTCAGGCGAAGCATGAGGTCAGAGACTCAACCCAGGCTAGGGGAGTGGGTGAGGAGCCTGACCAACGGCCTCACACAGGGCAGGTGGGCAGAGAAGATTGAGCCGTCCACTCTCACTCACACCACCTGTCAGGACTATCCCTTCATCCATGGAGTCCTGCTCAGGTTCACAGGACAGAGTGATCCAGGGAACTTATTATATTTCAGTTTTGGGTTGAAAACTCCAAGATATTTTGGAGATTATTATTGAGCTGAATTTTATAAAAATTGTTTAAAGAGTAAAGTAAGATGTGTACAGTAATAGTTTACTGAGAGATATTTCATGTTGTAGATGATTCACCTGTTTAATGTGGCTGCTGGGGTCAGGAAGATGGCTGAAGCAGCAGAGCACATTCTAGCATATGTAAGACCCTGAGTTCAGTCTTGGCTACTACATGGTCCTCTGAGCACCACCAGGTGTGGCCCTGGTGGGCCCTAAGCTTCCAGCCTTGAGGACTGTGCTGCTAACCCAGGTTCATGCCATAGGGTAGAGAATCGTGGGACCCAAATCAATACTTAGGTTCATACAATGCTTTTCACTTGCATAATTTTTAGTATAATCATAGAGTTGTGAAATCCTCATCACAATAAAATTGAGAATATTTCATCACCCCACCCCCCTCAGAGAAGTCTCATGACCCCCAGCCCAGGGGTGAAACTATGGTGGCCCCCAGCACTGTAACTGAGCACGGCTGCATGCCCAGGGTAGCTCTACATCATCAGGCCCACATAGCAGGGCAGAGGCTCCCTAGGAGTGGTCTCCAGCCCCTGAGCATTGCTTGGGAGCAGCACCCCCCCCCCATTTCCCCAACCCTTGCTTCTGCCGGGAACAATGTCTATATCTCAATTTGCATGTGCTCAGCATTTCATAGGAATGAAATCGACTATGTGACCTTCTGTGACAGATTTCTTTTATGCAGCACCATAGATTCAGGGAAGAATCATCTATGTTGTAGCATCGATTATTCACTCTTTTTCATTGCCAAATAATATTTTACACTATAGATTATGCAGTGTTATATTTGTTTATTATGTTGGCTGTTTGTGTTTTTTGACTATTAAGAATAATGCTATGGTGACTACTCATGTACAAGGTTTAGGTGTGTTTCATGAGCTTTTGTTTTATTTGGTTGAATTCTGGTTTGGTGGCCACTTCAAGCTCTGTGCTCAGGGGCCCATCAGGTGCCAAAGATTGAACCCAGGCCTCCAGTACTCAAAGTATGAGTTCCAGCGTGTTAAGCTATTTCTCTAATCCCTGTGATATATGTGTGTATGTGCGTGTGTGTGTGTGTGGGGGGGGGGAGTGTGCACATGCACACATATGAGTATTTATTTTTAATTCTATTGGGTTTATAGCAAAACTTAGAATTATTATAGCACCTGGTGACTCCCTATTTCAACTTTTGAAGAATTGTCAGACTATCTTCTATAAGGCATGTGCTATTTTACATTCTTTCCACCATCAAATAATTCCAATTTCTCCTTTTCTTTGCCCACACTTGTCATTCCCATTTGTTTTGTCGTAGCCATTTATCAATGGTATCATTTGGCATCTCAGTGAGATATTGATCTGCATTATCCTAGTGGTGAATGATGCTGAGCATATTTTCATGTGCCTGCTGGTCATTTGAAGATCTGTAGAAATATTTGCTGTAGATTTTTTGAAATGGTTACTCAAGTTCTTTGCTAACTTTTTAATTAGGTTATTTTCCTTTTAATTATCGAAATACAGAATTATTTTGTAGTTTGGATCACTGTATCACTGTCATCCGGTTGTTCATCGATTTCCTTGAGCAGGCACCAGTAATGGCTCCTTTCGTCCTAGCCCTAAAATTTTAGGAAGTGCCACATTCAAGGCTCCTTCAGGGTCAGGGAAATGAGACCCATCATTGTTACTTGTTTTTGGCATATTGAACATGCCACAGGGAGTTTGCCAGACTCTGCCGTGAGGGCAGGACATTCTCGGTAGCCTGCTAGGCTCTCCAGAGTAAGAACTAGATAATAAGATGTTGCGCAGCTGCAAATGCAGCCACACACTTCCAGGAGCTGGGTTTTATAGTCTCTGGGTCTTGGCCATTGATGGGATTACATGGTGCCGGGGGCAGTTTGTGGGTGTAACACTCACATACTGGAAGATGGGGGATGTGGGTGGAGGAGGCCCAGTCCCAATCCGAGTAGGCTTAGAGATCTTAGCCCCTGGTCCCCTATGCCTGGGTTCCTCTGCCGGTTCCTTCATGCGTGAGGCTTGTCTGAACGTGTGGAGAGTGGTCTCAGCATGGCTGTTGCTGGTTCCAGAGGTCTTCGGCTGCCAGGGCTCTGCTCAGATAAAATTCCTTTATTAGATATCAGTTTGCATATATTTCCTTCGATTTTGTGTATCATCTTTTCACTTTTTAATGTTTCCTTTGTTTGTGGGTCACACCTGGCAGTACTCAGGATCTACTCCTGGTTCTGTGCTCAGGTGTTACTCCTGTCAGTGCTAAAGAAACCAAGCAGTGCCAGGGATAGGATCTAGGCTTCCTTCATACAAAGCATGAGCTCAAGCTTTTGAGATATTTCTCTGGCCCTTGATGAGTCTTTTAAAGTCTAAAAGTGTTTCATATTGATGAAATCAAATTTATTTTCCTGTTGTTGTTTGTGGTTTTAGTGTTGCACGTAAAATAAAAACTTCATTTCATTTCCCCAGAGTATGACAATTGACTCCTATATTTTCTCCCATGCATTTTTGTACTTTCAGTTTTACATTAAACTCTAAACCATTGTAGTGAAATTTTGTATATTGTGTGTTATAGGAGATTAATGTTGTTCTTTTGCATGTGGCTACTCAATTGTCCCCAACCCATTTGTTGAGAAGATGGTTCTTTCTCCATTAAGTATATTTATCAAAAACCAATTTACCATTTTTTTTTATTTTTGTACTCTCAATTTTATTCTGTTAATCTTTACATGAACTGGAGCAATAGCACAGCAGGTAGGGCGTTTGCACGCAGCCGACCTGGGTTTGATTCCTCTGTCCCTCTCAGAGATCCTGGCAAGCTACCAAAAGTATCCTGCCCGCACAGCATAGCCTGGCAAGCTCCCCCTGATGTATTCAATATGTCAAAAACAGTAACAACAAGTCTCACAAAGGAGACATTACTGGTGCCCGCTCGAGCAAATAGATGAACAACGAGACGAGAGTGCTATGGTGCAGTGCAGTAATCTTTATATCTATCCTTATGCCAGTACCATACAGTCTTGATTACTACAGTTTTGTAGTTTTAAAATAAAAATATTTGAGTCCTCCAGGTTTTTCTCTTGGCTATTCTGACATTTCCATGTGAGTTCCAGGATCAATTTGTCAATGTCCATAAAGAAGCCAGTTGAGGTTTGATAGATACTGCATTGTGTCTATAAATAAATTTGGTGAGTATGGTCATCTTAACTTTGATTTTCAATCTATGAGCACAGGATGTTTTTCTATTTATTTTGGTCTTCTTGCATTTATTTCAAAATTTTATAACCTTCAAGTACAAGTTATGCCTTTAATAAATGTATTAAATTTATTTATATTTTATTATTGTATTTAACTATTGGTGAAATTTTCTCTATTTCATTTGCAGATTATTCATTTTAAGTATAGAAATGCATTTTATTTACACATATTGATCTATGTCCTTTAACTTTGCTGAATTCTGGATTCTGTAGGATCTTCTGCATACAAAATTATGTCATCTGCAAATACAGTTTTACTTTTCAAGATTCTTGTTAGTATGTTCTCTTCATGTAGATAAAGAAATCAAGATACCAAAAGATGGAAAGAGCATAGATTAGAGTATATACTTTGCATATAGGAGGCCCAGGTTCAATACCCGGCATCACATAGTTCCCTGAGCACTGCTGGGAGCAACCCTGAGCTCAGACCCAGAGTATCTCCTGAACATCCCGCTCCCCAAATGAAAAATCTTCACAAAAATCACATGAAATGATGAGGAAGCATGACACAAAGGCACTTAGAATTTTTTTTTTCTGAAACACCGTATTCCCTTGGTTTTAATTGTTATCACTAAAGCAATCTTTAAAACAACTCATTAATTGCACTAAATAAAATGGAGCTTTTTCTGAAGATGCCTAGGAAGCCAGCTGATCTGAGGGGTGGGGGTGA